GCTGGGACAGTACACAAAGAATATGGCATGAAAATACGCCTGATTTAAAAACTGAAATAGATACTAAGATATTCTTGTACTACGGTGTCTCAGCGTTGCGATAATGTTTGAAACCTCTCTTCGCTTCTATCAAATTTTCGAGTGGGCACTGATCCTTGCATTCATTTACTATTACATAGGTTAGCCTAGGTGGATATAGTAAAGACCTCAAAAATCACTAAGAAATGCAAGGCGAACTTAAAACAAGAATTAGATCTCAAACATACTAGTAAGTTTTAGACTAGAAAGACGCAAATCTTATAATCAACAAAATCTTGTTATAAATAGCAACCCGTTGATTGGAAAAGACCCTTTAGCATAACCTTAGAGGAAGTTACTTTAATGGGAAAGATTTGGTTCTTTGAGCCTGTCCAAATCTTGACTTGGTCATGCAAAACTTTCTGCTTATATTAAGCTCAGATGCAATTGACTAGTTTTCTAGGCCCTCCTTTGGTGAAAAGGCGGATGGCATCAAGCCACAACTCTTATAAGTGATTTGCACCATGACATGACTAAATTTCCGTCTTCTTGAAGTTAGTCTCAATCCAAGCTTCCAACTTTGAGTATCACCACTAGGAGTTTGATCATATGAAAATCCAATAGCCCTAATTAACATTTTGTGAAGTTGCTCTGAAATTTTCCGATTTTACGTACTTCGTGGCAGTGTATTCTACACGTGAATACCAATCCTACAAACATTGAGTAAACTGCTAAACCCTTCATCTCACATTTTCACTTTGTCTAGGGCTAACTAAAAGTCTACCTATTAATATTAGTCAGACTCTCACACCATTTTCTTACATCGTGGGTCGAGGATGTTTTTAGAACTTCAACTAACCGCTTTAAGTAGATTTTAGAAATCTGAAATCATTGTGAAATTTGGTGCAAAGATGTGGAATAATGTTTTCTTTTACTGCTGCATCATCTTGAAGTGATGTTAATCATTCAGCTGAACAATCCGTTCAACTTCTTGGAAAATTTGCCGAAATCAAGTGAGGTCAT